AACTGGCAGAAAGACTTTAGGTCACTTTTATTAGTTTTTGGTCCAAATCTTCCCAGGGCCACCCCAACCGGGTGTGGAAAGGAGGAAGGCAGTCACTTACCTCATGGGTTTGAACATGGCCTTTCCGAAATCCGAGAACCTCAGCACCAGCTTGAGGTGGACCCCACTGGGTTTCACAACTGTGAAAGGCAGAAGAGTGAGTTAACCATGCTTCTGGGCCTCAGCCCAGGCTTGTGACTCTGGTCCTTCAATAAGCCCCGCTGACTTCTCTTTCCTCTTATGTAATGAGACCCTAAAGACTAGGATGTGCTCTCCATAACCTGCAGGGTAAACGCCATGGTGTCAGGCCATAGTGACGGTGTCCAGGGGCTCAAGACAGAACTTTTTACTTTGGGAGGTGAAGGCAGGAGGATCGCTTGAGCCCAGGAGTTTGAGACCAGCCTGGGCAACATAGTGAGACCCCCATTTTGAAAAGAAAAAAATAAAAAGGTACATTTTCTGCTGACCATGGGAAAAGAGCAACAAATACAGTGAAGACATTTACTGAAAACCCCAAAGAATGTTTTCCTAAGAATGAACCCTTTCCTCTTTGTGTTTCAACTACATCTTTGTAGATTCGACTTATGCCTTCTGTTATATTAGACTAGTTGGTTTATGCCTCTTTCTACTTAAGACTGTACACCTGGGCTGGGACCAGAGCTTGGCAAGTGAGTGCTGCTTAGGTGCAGGGAGTGCTACTTCCTTAAATGTTGCATCCTGGGCACCTCACTTGCCTTACCTTGTCCCTGGTCCTGGAGGGTCAGGACAATATCTCACTCACCTTGTGTTCTATAAAATGGTCAATGGCAGGTGCTTAACTGAAGAAAAAGGAAGCCTGGGGCCCTGTACACCTTTATTTTCAAACCTTAGTGATATGGTTAGGCTTTGTGTCCCTACCCAAATCTCATCTCAAATTGTAATCCCCTTGTCTCAAATCTCATCTCAAATTGTTGAGGGAGGGATGTGGTGAGAGGTGACCAGATCATGGGACAGCTTCCCCTATGCCGTTCTTACGATAGTGAGTTCTCATGAGATCTCATGGTTTTATAAGGCGCTCTTCCCCGTTTGCGTCTTCTCTCTCCTGCCACCATGTGAGATGTGCCTTGCTTCCCCTTCCCCTTCTGCCATGATTGTAAATCTCCAGAGACCTCCTAGTCATGCTTCCTGTTAAGCCTGCAGAACTGTGAGTCAATTAAACCTCTTCCTTTATAAATTACCCAGTCTCAAGCATTTCTTAACAGCAGTGTAAAAATGAACTAATAAATTTCGACATGCCTCATCAGATGTAGTCACATGTAGACATTTCTGATGTGTGTTCCACATATTGAAGTAAAGGGACAGGGCCACTCACGGCTGGTGATGACTGGCCTGAGGGTTTTAGGGTCCAGACCCACCTATAACCAGGTCACAGCACTCCTGGAGGGGAGCTCTGCCGCTCTCAGTCCTAGCTTTTTGATTCCATTAATCACTTACCCTTGTGAGTTTCAACTCTGGCTATATTAGAATCACCTGGGCCTCATCGTCTGAACTCGAATCAAAACCCCTGGGGGTGGAGGCCGGGCATGAGCACTTTTTAAAGCTCCCCCAGTGATTCTAATACATATGTGTGTGTGTATATGTGTGTGTGTATATATGTGTGTGTGTATATATATATACACACACACATATATATACACACACATATATATATTTTTTAGCTGGAGTCTCACTCTGTTGCCTAGGCTGGAGTGCAGTGGCATGATCTCAGTTCACTGCAACCTCCACCTCCTCAATTCAAGCGATTCTCTTGACTCAGCCTCCCGAGTAGCTGGGATTACAGGTGGGCACCACCATGCCTGTCTAACTTTTTATATTTTTGGTAGAGATGGGTTTTCACTGTGTTGGCCAGGCTGGTCTCAAACTCCTGACATCAAGTGATCCACCTGCCTCAGACTCCCAAAGTGCTGGGATTACAGGCGTGAGCCACTGTGCCTAGCTGACTCTGATATTTTGTCAGTAGTGGGAATCATTGCTTCTTGAATTTGAAAGCAACTCCAATCACTTAAGGATTTTGTGAAAACTCAGATTCGGATTCAGAAAGAGAGTGAGACCCTGCATTTCTGATGAGCTCCTCAGTGATGCTGATGGTACTTTTCCTGGGCCACGCATTGCCCAGCGGGGCCTACACAACCCTTCCTCTTAAGTGCCTTTTCTTGTTGTGGGTGGATGGGGAGAAATGTTGAGTTCTCAGAGGTTACACAGAGAGCCATACTCCTTCCACTCTTGCCCAAGGTCGCCACTGGAGTGGATTTTGGGGTTTGCACAGCTGTGAGGGTGAAGAGGCTGGGTGGGGGCGGGGCCAGGTCACTTACTCTGGGTGCAGTCACACGCCCCCAGCAAGGCTTTCTCGTCCTGACTGTAATCTGCAAAGGAGGAGAAGGGCAATGAGAACTTCCAGTCTTATTCCTGGGACAGCCTACAACATGGGGGTCCCTTGACTCTGGTTCAGATCACCAGAGGGGAGACTGTGATGTAGCCTGTGGCCCTTGCCCACTCTGTGGGAGATCTCTTGGAACCCAGGAGGCTGCAGCCTCCTTCCTTGCTCTGTCCCAGACCCCTGCTTTCTAGCCCTTCAGTGGACACTCCAGCAATACCTGGCTGGGAGACTGAGTCTGCTTTTGTCTCTGCTAATAATTTGCTGTGTCATTTTGATTGTCTCAGTGCTTGACAGCACAGACTTGGTATCAGCAGGCCTGTGTTTGAATCCCAGCTCCACCCCGTAGGTCCTTGGCCAAGTGACTCAACCTTTCTGAGTCTCAGTTTCCCTATCTATAAAATGGCAGTGGTAATATCCATGCCACAAGGTCTTTGGGTGAAAGAGAATGCGTCGCCTGCTTCAAAAGCAGCACTCAATAAATGGTAGTGATCACCTTCCTTTAGGTGTACCAAACAACAGCATACCTCCTTATGGCATCAGGACGAGATTATTGCTATAAGATCTCTTTCAGAGGGAAAAAGATCAATGTGTATGTTCCTTTTCTGTTTCTCAGGTGTCAGTGTCAAGCCTTTAATGTTCCACTCTGGAGCCTGGCCTGGGATGCGTTACCCAGACTCTCTGGGAGAAAGTCAGTCCCCCTTGCCTGATCCCATGAACTTTACCAGCACTGATGGTGGGAAAGTTCCTCATATCTTGCAGAAGTTTGCTGACAACAGGACTGGACCGGGAGTAGAGCCCATGGCGGTTAATACCCAGGTGGAACTGGACCCAACTGGCCTCGAGTCGAAGCTGCAGTGGGGGGTCCAGGGAGGTGAGGTTCATCTGCTCTCTGTACATCTTGTGTCGCCTGAAAGAGCCAGATAGTTGTTCATTAGAGGAACAAGAATGCAAAGACCCACCAAGATACCTTGTCTGCAGTTTTCATTCATCTTTTCATTTATTCCACAAGTGTATTAAGCATCTAATGAGGGCTAGGCTTTAAGCTGTGCTTAGGATATCATGGGAAGCAAAACACCTGTGGGGTCCTTTCTTACCCTCAGAGAGCTTACACTCTAGTGAGTAAAACACACAGTTATACAGTATCATACACAAATACTTAATTACAAACCAGGACAAATCCTGGGAAGGAAAAAAGGCAGACTGCTAAGAATAAAACTAGGGGCCTCATATAATCTGGGATCTCAGGGTGAGACTGTGGGTCTCTGTGCACTTTCCCATTAAAACTCTCTATCTTACATTTCCCAGTATTTTATGTTCCAAGGAATCAGAAGATAGAGGAGAGAAGGCAATTGGTGAGAATAACAAGAAGAGAGGGTGCAGATCTTTCAGTGGGGCTGGAAGCTGAGTTAGATTACAAAAGAAAAGAAGAATTAATGAGCCATTTACTGTTTGTTCTGCTTGGGTAGCCTTTTCTGCCAGGAAAAAAAGAGAAACATAAAAAATGATGGTGCTACCATTTAGAGATGTAGACTGTAATTTGGGAGACAAGTTGTAAGTCTGTGAAATAACCAGAGCAAAATACAAGGCTGTTATAAATCAACTGCTAAACATGTGGCTCAGATGGAAACGCCTTAACGTTTTGGAGAAGGGAAAAGATGAATCTATGATGAAGTAGCCTGAGGACAACCACAGTGAAGAAGGCAGACTTCAGCTGGATCCTAAAGAACCGGGGGTGTTTGGCTTGAAGGGGACAGGGAGGGTACTCCTGCATTAAGGACGACATGAGCACTACGAGAGGTAGGCAAGAAACGGGTGTATCTGGGGATGAGAGAGGCAGGTTGAATAAATGCACTGTTGAATGAGAAGATGGAGGCCTCCGGATTGGAAGGGAAGGCAAATCAGTACGAGGTCCTCTGGCTGGGAAGAGCTGATTGGGAGAGGTAGGTGGGATTATAGGAGTAGGGTTTTGCAGTTCCTATATATCCCTATTTCTCAAACTGTGATAATATACCACTCAGGTCTGCGGCAGGGTAAAAAACAAAACAAACATGGCAGATCCGGGAGTGTCCAATTTTCTCATTGGTGGAGAGTTGTAAAAATTACCACATTGGGAGGCTGAGGCAGATCACCTGAGGCCAGAAGTTTGAGACCAGCCTGGACAACAATGATAAAGCCCCGTCTCTACTAAAAATACAAAAATTAGCCAAGCATGGTGGTGCGCACCTGTAATCCTAGCTACTTGAGAGGCTGAGGCAGGAGAATCACTTGAACCCGGGAGGCAGAGGTTGCAGCGAGCCGTGATGGCGCCACTGCACTCCAGCCTGGGCGACAGAGCGAGACTCTGACTTAAAAAAAAAAAAAAAAGTTACTTTTTTATCAAAATAAAAATAGATGTATTATGGGGAAGGAAATAAAATATACCATAGGGATCTGAATCCATTTGTGATCTTAGTGATTGCAATGGACTGAATGTTTATGTTTCCTTCAGATTCATATGTTGAAATTTTAACCTCCAAGGTGATAGATAGTATTGGAGGTGGGGCCTCTGGGGAGGGTTTAACCCTCATGAATAGGATTAATGCCCTCATAAGAGAGACCCCAGAGAAATCCCTCACCCCTTCTGTCATGTCAGGTTATAGCAAGAAGACAGTATCTGTGTACCAGCAAGAGAGGCCTCACTAGAAGAAATGGAATCTGCCAGCACCCTGGTGTTGGACTTCTCAGCCTCCAGAACTGTGAGAAATACATTTCTGTTGTTTACAAGTCACCCAGTTTATAGTATTGGTTATCACACCCCAAACAGACTAAGGCAATTTTGCTTCACCATTTCTTTCCTATTTCTGACACCCAGAATGAAGTGTAATATATCCCCAGACATGACTGCCCAGTGCAGAGGAGAATACGGTAATTACCATCCCCATTCATGGCGTTTTCCTTGTATGAATGTAACCCAACCCTGAAAATCTTTGGGAAATCATATCACATATCTCTAAGAAAATATGATTTTATGGTAAGCAGGATTCTAAAATTGGCTTCTAAGATTCCATGCCCTCATTTCCAGAACCTGTGACTATGAAGAGCTCTCATTCCATGATTATGCCATGTTCACGGCGTAGTTAAATTTAGGGAGGTTGTCAAGGTGGGCCTGATTGAATCGCATGAGCCCTTGAAAGTAAAGTTTTTTTTCTGGCTGTTATCAGAAGTCCAAACGATCCAGAGCGTCAGAAGGATTTGACACACTATTGTTGGCTTTGAAGATGGAGAAGGTCAAGTGGAAGGACCAGAGAGCTGTCATGAAGAGCTGAGAATGCTTCCCAACTGAAGCCAGCAAGGAGATGGGGGCAAGGAACTGAATTCTACCAACAACGAGAATGAGCTTGAAGGAGGACCCCTGAGCTGCTGGTGAGAATGTAGCCAACCAACGCCTTGGTTTTAGTCTTGTGAGATCCTAGCAGAAAATGAGTCATACCATCTGATATGTTGCAGATGTTTGTCCCCTCCGAATCTCATGTTGAAATGTAGTCGCCAGTGTTGAAGGCGGGGCCTGGTGGGAGCTAATTGTAACATAGGAGTGGGTCCCTCATGAACGGCTTAGCACCATCTCCTTGGTGATGAGTGAGGTCTTGCTCAGAGTTCATGTGAGATCTGGGGGTTTAAAGGCATATAGCGCCTCCCTGCTCACTCTCTTGTGCTCCTGCTCTTGCCACGTGGTGTGCATGTTCTGTATCACCTTCTGCCATGAGTAAGTTTTCTGAGCCCTCACCAGAAGCAGCATGCTTCCTGTACAGCCTGTGGAACCATGATCTAATTAAATCTTTTTTTTTTTTTTAATAAATTACACAGTTTCAGGTCTGTCTTTTTCTTTCTCTTTCTTTCTTCTTTCTTTCTTTCTTTCTTTCTTTCTTTCTTTCTTTCTTTCTTTCTTTCTTTCTTTCTTTTCTTTCTTTTTCCCTCTTTCCTTCTCTTTCTTTCTTTTCTTTCTTTCTTTCTTTCTTTCTTTCTTTCTTTCTTTCTTTTCCTTCCTTCCTTCCTTCCTTCCTTCCTTCCTTCCTTCCTTCCCTCTCTCTCTTTCTTTCTCTCTTTCTTCTCCTTCCTTCCTCTCTTTCTTCTCCTTCCTTCCTTCCTTCCTTCCTTCCTTCCTTCCTTCCTTCCTTCCTTCCTTCTTTCATCTTTCTTCAAAGTTTTGCTCTTGTTGCCGAGGCTGGAGTGCAATGACACGATCCTGGCTCACTGGCTCACTGTTACCTCCACCTCCCCGGTTCAAGCGATTCTCCTGCCTCAGCCTCCTGAGTAGCTGGGATTACAGGTGCCTGCCACCATGCCTGGCTAATTTTGTGTTTTTGATAGAGATGGGGTTTTACCATCTTGGCCAGGGTTGTCTCAAACTCCTGACCTCAGGTGATCTGCCTGCTTTGGCCACCCAAAGTGCTGGGATTACAGGCGTGAGCCACCGTGCCTGGCCAGATATTTCTTTATAGCAACACAAAACTGGCCTGAAACATTATCCCAGACTTCTGACCTATAAGGCAAATGGGGAGTTGCTCTGAGTGTCTAAGTTTGTGGTAATTTGTACTCAGAACTAAAAACCAAATGCATATTTTGTTCACAGAGAGGCTCAAAAGCTACATGCTCTTATTTTAAGCATATGCTTTTATTTCTTTTAATAATAACCCCAAGTAATATTTTTTATTAGCTCTAGAAAACTATTCACATAAGTGTTCTTGTTTGTTTGTTTGTGTTTAGAGATGGGGGTCTTGCTCTGTCATCTAGGCTGGAGTGCAGTGGCATAGTCACAGCTCACTGCAGTCTCGAATTCCCGGCCTTGAACAATCCTGCTGCCTCAGCCTCCCAAGCAATTAGGACTACAGGCATGCCCTACAAATCCCAGCTAATTAATTAATTATTTATTTTTTGGGCAGAGATAGAGTCTTGTTTTGTTGCCCAGGCTGGTCTTGAACCCCTGGCCTCAAGCAATTCTCCCACGTCAGTCTCCCAAATTCTTGAGATTATACATGTGAGCCACTGCCCCTCACGTAAGTTTTAGATTTTTATTTTGTCATTAAAGTGGTTAATCAGCTTTCAGATGGGACTTATATTTCTGAGTTCCCCAGGGTCACTTAACAAAACAGGTACAGGTTGCAGAACTATCATGGCAAGAGGGTCCACAGACTTAAATACCTACAGAATACCTACAGAAACAGGCAGACAGCGTGAGTGAAGAATGCAGGCAGGAGGGGTAGGGAGTGTGGCAAACTAGAGAGCACACTCTCCATGTAAAGGGGAACAGCCGCTACTAAGTTTCAGCTGATTGTAGAGTTGTTCTGACATTGTTTATTCATCCATTCACTCATTCATTAACTATTTGTTGAGATACTAGATACTGATTTATATTTTGGAGCTAGGGCTGTGTACAGATCTACAATGTTTCTGTTCATATGAAACTTATAATTTCCGGGGAAATCATTTATTCTAGTTTTTAAGAGAAGCTAGAATCCAGACTTTGATCAGGATTCGGATTCTCCTTCCAAGTGTTAACTCAAGAATGAAGAGTCGAGCTACCATTTGAGCCAGTAATCCCACTACTAGCATATACCCAAAGGAAAATAAACCTTTCTACCAAAAAGACACACGCACCTGTATTTTCATCACAGCACTATTCACAATAGCAAAGGCGTGGAATCAACCTAGGTGCCCGTCCATGATGGATTGGATAAAGAAAATGTGGGACATATACACCATTTTATGCAGCCATCAAAAAAGAATGAAACCATGTCCTTTGCAGCAACACGGATGCAGCTGGAAACCATTATCCTAAGTGAACTAACGCCGAAACAGAAAACCAAATGTTGCATGTTCTCACTCACAAGTGGGAGCTAACTACTGGGTACACGTGGACACAAACGGGAGCATCAGACACTGGGGATTATTAGAGGGGGAAGGGAAAGGGGGGTGGATTGAAAAAAATGCCTATCAAGTGCTAAGCTTACTACCTTGGTGACAGATTCATTCGTACACCTTGGCATCCCATGGCATACCTTTGCAGCAGGCCTGCACATGAACCCCTGATTCTAAAATACAAGTCCAAAAAAAAAAAAAAAGTGTTGACTCAAATTTAAAAATATCCTGTGTGGGCCAAACAACAACAACAACAACAATTGACATCCAGTTTGTGTTCTCTGCCCTGTGCTGTTAACGCAAATGAAGAAGTGAGCTGGTCAATGTGAAATCCCCCTGCACACATATTACGTGTAAATCCCCCTGCACACATATTACTCTGGGGATGTATATTAATGGAGGAGACAAGGCAAAGCAAAGGAACACATTATTATTATTATTATTATTATTATTTGAGACAAGGTCTTGCTCTGTTGCCCAGGCTGGAGTACAGTAGCACCGTCACAGTTCACTGTAGCCTTAACCTCCTGGGCTTAAGCAATCCTCCCACCTCAGTCTCCCGAGTAGCTGGGACTACACGCATGTGCCATTATGCCTGGCTAATTTTTTTTTATTTTTTGTAGAGACAGGTCTCCATATGTTGCCCAGGCTGATCTCGATCTCCTAGGCTCAAGTGATGCTCCTGTTTTGGCCCCCCAAAGTGCTGGGATTGTAGGCATGAGCTGCTGCACCCAGCTAGAATACCCTATTATTTTAAGACTTTGGTCTCCAAGAGCAGTAGAAAGATGGCTGGGACTTCTCTCCCAAGACAGCAAGCCCTCAGCCAGCCTTCCAGCTTGGCGTAGGGGAAGGGGACTGAAACTTATTCCTCCCCTAAAGGTCAGCAGCAGGCTCAGGAGTCCAGCCACCATCAGTCCATCGCACCCCCTCCAAGACAAAGGAGCAATGTGTACTGTTGGTATAATTACCCAAAGCGACAAATGTTAAAGCTGCCTCAGCTTTCCTTTGATGAAAACCAAGGGCAAGGGCAAATTGTTGACCAGGTCTGTATGTCTCCAGCTGGCTTTCCCTTACTTTACTAACATTTATTTTCATTTTAAAAACATAATCATTTTTTTCCATTTAAATATCTGAGAGGTCTAGAATTTATTTAGATAAAACGTGTTAGGTATGGGTTCACCTTTTTCCACCCTCCAAGGTGACTAGCTAGTTCTCTAACAATCATTTATTAAACAAATTTATTTTTTAATTTCACTGATTTGAAATGTCATTTTTATCAGATAAAACATTTCCATTCGTATTTGGGTCTATTTCTGGAAGCTCCATTCTGTTTCATGTTCTGTCTGGCCATATTCCAAGGAAATGCTGTTGAACTTTTTTAACGTGATAAAACACTTTAACAGCTGGTGGGGCTAGTCTTTTTGATTGCCTTTTTTTTTTTTTTAAGAGTTTTCCTATATAGTCCAACTTGTATACTTATCCACATGAATTTCACAATTATAAAAACCCTTTCAAAATGGAAACCTTAAAAAGTTTTAAACAGGCTTATCAAGTAGCGTTATTATAATGCCTTCTTGAATTATTGACGAGAGTGTAGTTGGCACATCATTCTAGAGGGTAATTTCCCAGTACATTTCTTTTTTTCTTTTTCTTTTTCTTTTTCTTTTTATGGAGTCTCCCTCTGTTGCCCAGGCTGGAGTTCAGTGGCATGATCTTGGCTCAGTGCAACCTCTGCCTCCCGGATTCAAGCAATTTTCCTGCCTCAGCCTCCTGAGTAGCTGGGATTACAGGTGCATGCCACCATGCCTGGCTAATTTTTGTTTTTTTAGTAGAGACGGGGTTACACCATGTTGGCCAGGATGGTCTTGAACCTCTGACCTCACATGATCCACTGGCCTCTCAAAGTGTTGGGATTACAGGCGTGAGCCACTGCACCCGGCCCCCAGTACATTTCAAAACGTGTAATGAGTGTACCCTTTGACTTAGCAATTTCATTTCTGCAACTTATCCTGTAGAATGATTTGCACAACTCTGCAAGAAAATATGTTCAAAGATGTTCACCATTGTTTGTAATTGTAAAATCTGGAGAAAAGAGAAATGTCTAGGACGGGGTATTTAAGAGATCTCTCTATATGTAGTGATGTAGAAAGATGTCTAATTTCAGAACAGTTGTAGAGTGGGTCTTTTTCTTTTTGCTAAAAATATCATATACAGGTGCTTATATAGACATAGACACATTTAGTGTGCATGAAAAGAACACATACCAAACTCAATGATGGTGCCCCTTGGGGGTAGGCATGAGTAGCTTCATTTTTACTTCATGTATTTCTGTAATTGTGCAATTAAACAAATTACATTGAAAGTTGTTTTTGCATACCTCTTTCTCACTCCTCATGTGTCTCCCCATCTAGCATCCTTTTCCATCCCCCCACCTTTTTTTTTTTCTTTCTTTTTTTTTTTTTAAAGCATTGCATCTTCTCATTTGAATTGCATTTCCAAGATCTGGCAAAAAAAAAAAAAAAAAAAAAAAAAAAAAAAAAAAGAAGGCTGGGCGCGTTGGCTCAAGCCTGTAATCCCAGCACTGTGGGAGGCCGAGACGGGTGGATCACGAGGTCAGGAGATCGAGACCATCCTGGCTAACATGGTGAAACTTAGTCTCTACTAAAAAAAAATACAAAAAACTAGCCAGGCGAGGTGGCGGGTGCCTGTAGTCCCAGCTACTCGGGAGGCTGAGGCGGGAGAATGGCGTGAACCCGGGAGGCGGAGCCACTGCACTCCAGCCTGGGTGACAGAGCGAGACTCTGTTTCAAAAAAAAAAAAAAAAAAAAAGAAAAGAAAAAGAAAAAGCAAAAAAAGAAAAAAAAAATTTCCTCTTGTACTTGCGTGATCTGTGACCCACAATTTCAGATCACAATGCCCCATCTCCTTGAGTC